TATTTCTCTTTCTGATTATTTTACTCGCAATTTGGTCGGATCCAATTATTTGGTCACCAAATTGAATAATCTCTTTTGTCCTTTTACCAGCAACAAATCATATCTATGTTTGGCACTTCAAAAGGAGAGTTGCATGGATTCGAAACGTCCGAGTATAATAGAAATTAAAGCTATGGATTTGCAAGTCCAGTCGATATCGGGGTCCAGTATTTTATTGAGATATGAAGAATAAGAATGATGGATCGTCTCCATTATTAAGATGGAAATTTAGGTCATATTCTCATCTACCGGATTGTAACCGAAGCATATGATGACGTGTCGGATTTGTGTTTTGTATTCTTCCCCCGTGAAATCTTGCGTAATCATCAATTGCCAATTGGATTCTTCATCTGTTTTATCAATGGAATTAGGTTTCTTCATGTGTAATGAAAGTTGATGCAAATGTAGCAATAGTACAGCTTTACGCCAGTCATACCAATGGGGTGTCTTTATTGTCCATGTAGTAATTTCGAGCCAACACCACACTTGTCGCGTAAGCAAAACCGACGTCGGCGATGGAAGGAACCGATTGCACGAATTAGGTAGGTGAGAACACGTTCCAAATAATAAAAAAGAAGAAGTTTGAGGATTGAAATTCCACGTATCAAAAGACTAAAAGTGTGTACTTAATTCGGTATTTCAAATCAAGACGTATTGATGATGTGTGTAACACCTGAGGGCAAAAACAGCTAGGCTAACCTACTTGGGACAGTACGCATGTCTATCCCGAAATTGAATTAGCATATAATATCAGGTTTCGAGACTGATAAGTGGTTTTTTTAGGATGCGTTTCCTTCACTGAAAACTTCGTGATAAAGGAAAATATTTTCCATGGAAATCATTTTCAAGGAAAATGTTTGGTCTTCGTTAGAAAAGTGATTTCCTTATTACTAGAAAGAAAAGTTAATTTTCTCAATCTAAACTTATTGTTTTTAGTCCATAGAATACATTTTTCCTGCATCGATTAGTTTTCTGTTATTCAAACACCGAAAAATTAGAAAATAATTTCTCAAATATAGTTTTTTTTTCAAACAAACGTAACTAGTTTACCGAGCACCTACCATGAAACGACCGAGAAGACTTCACATCTTCCCTGCAGTTACACACACACATCCCAGAGAATTCAATTGGGTCTGTTCACACCAAACCAAACAGTAATTTATTAGGTAGGAAGACCAGCACCCAATAATGCTAACTGCCCGTCCCATGTACTATTATAATGTGAACTCAATCAGAAAGTGGAGACTTCACATTTCCTTGCAATCATCTTCACATTTCCAGAGAATTTCAATCGTCTGTTCACACCAAACCAAACAACAGTTGATTAGGTAGTTAGCCCAATGGGATAAGATTCACTCTCATATTATTTAGAAATCCCTTTCGGTCACAAGTTTGAATCCCTCCACCGCTCCTTGATTCCAAGAAATCCCGATTCGTTGATGGCGTAAGTTCGACTTGCGCACCATCGTAGGATGACCGTGGCTTTTTCTCCATTTGCATCAGAAAGTACGGCGGTATCCGATTCATCCAAAATGAGCAGTGATTATGACTCGAACCGAGCATTGTGATCGTGGTAAGAAACTCGAGAAACTCTGAGCTTATGTTGCGGGATCGCTGATACTAGTCGCCCCTCTTGCCCGTATTAATGATAAGAGTACAATAGTTTAATGCAAATGTGGAAACAAAAGGAGAGCCAGCTGTCTTGCGGAGTACAGTGCCCTCACGGCAATGGCTTCCCTTTGGTCAATGTCAACCGAATGACAATCATCATCCATTTTTGACTCTCCCACATTTCCATCCCTCTGTCCCACAACAACAAAAATTGTATATTACAAAGCTTAACATAGAGTATATCAAGACCTTTCCCATGAGGCCTCTCATTTGGTGACGAAATTCTTAAATTACTAGATAAACATACCTTTTCGAATTGGCATACACGAACTTTAGAGAATAATTTGTATTGCAAATTCACCTCCTAGAAGTTGACTCATCTATACAAATACATTTTGGACTGTCCACATTTTATTTTACCCCCCTCCCCCTTTTTTTACCTTTCATTTTCTTTCTTCTGGTCCCCCCGGCCCTCCTTCTCCCCCAACTCCACTCCACCTCTTCTCTCTCGTCGCCGCCACCAACCTCCGTCCAAGCAACGCAATCCACCACAATCCTCCTCCGCTCCTCCTCGATCACGTCCCTTGCATGAGCGGCGGCCACCCGGTCAAGTTCTCTCTGTCTTCATTCAGGGGGAGGGAGGGAGGTCACAACGGCAGGGAGCAAATGGCAATGGAGGCACAGTATAGGGGCGAGGTCAGTGCGGTGGCGGCAGAGGCAAAAGGGAAGGGGCCGAGAGAGAAGAGGAGATAGGTTAGTTTTGGGTAAATTTCTCTTAAAGTAGGGACACTCTAATTATTTTGAGGTAACTAAAATCTAGACTAATTGTAAATGGTCATTGTCCTTTTTTCTTTCAATTAAGGAGAAGCTGTCAAATCAATCATAAACCTATTGCACATATGTTAATTCAGTTCTAAATTTTTTAATTTTGTCGATTTAGTCCTAAATTTTTGCGCGAAATTCTAATATTTTGGTCAATTTTTGCCAGAAATCTCTAACATGACGGTGTGCCACGTAAGATGATTGGCAATGACTGGACTGCCATGTCAGCAATTTTTGACGAAAATTGACTGAAAAGACTATCTCTGAAGGTTTATGATTGAATTTGAAACGTTTAAGATTGTATTGGCTTTAGGACTAATTAGGTAATTTTTCCTTTCATTTAATATGTCTTCTAGATATTATCAATGACATTCTTGTCTTTCCATAAGTAAGCAAAAACTATACCGTGACATCTCAAGTCTCATGTTGATTAGGAAGCCCAATTGAGTAATTCATAAATCGTCACTCACTCCGAAATGGCCACCACTTTGTGTGCTTATTGAGAGTAGTCATCTACGGGCTTGGCCATGTGAAATGGATCGAGCCATTATATACAACATCGAAGCAAGACCTCCCCAAAAGGTGGGTGTTTCCTGGATGTATTGGGACCATACCCAATCTAATAAGGGCGGGGCCATGCGGTTCTATAGTGCTTGGATAAGGCGTGGCTCCTAACTGGCTTCTACAATGGTAGATGTGACAAGAACAGACTCGCACATCGAATAATGGAAGTATAGTTAGGTGATGTGGGCCAATGCTAACAATTATGTTGATTCATTGAGTAGTTGAGTTTATGACATTCAGAGTCCCACATCGATTGGGACAACCCTGGTTAAGTGGTTCATTAATCAACACCAATCTTCAAGTGGTCACCATCTTGTGTGGTTTCTTAGTATACTTCTCCAAACAGTCACCATCTTTTGTGGTTACTCAGAATACCATCTTGTGTGGTTCAATAGTCAACACCAATCTTCAAGTGGTCACCATCTTTTGTGGTTACTTAGAGTTTGATCCATGTGGAATGAGTCTTATTATATGTAGTCTACGTACGTCAATGACGGAGAATGAAAAATTTAGAAAACATTTCCCTAAAAATGATCGCTCACATTACTTACAAAATTGAACTAACGAAATATATTTTCATCGTGCACAATAATGTTCAGGCATAAATTGTTATCGATGACGAAAACTTTTTTTATTGACTAATTATTTCAAGCGATATATGCGATCATATCTTAAAAAATGTTTTCCAACTCATATATTTATTGCGAAACAAACGGACTCTTAGAGCAAGTGAATTCAAGTGGCTTTCCAAGTAGTCTTGTAGGATTAGTCTCCAATGAAGCTTCCACAAGGGGCTTAAGGGTCGTAATTGCAAAAGATGTATTGTATGTGTGTATGTATATATGTATATATACCAATCTTTCTCGTGAAAATGCCAATGTAAGAATTTGGCAATTGGTGTGTTCTGAGGATTTTGTCTGCTCTCTATAGACTGTACTCTGTACTTCCCTCCCATATATTCTGATGTACGATCGCAGAGGCTCATACATAATTGACACTGATGATGACCGAATCATTATAATTACCCATGTACCACTTTTCCATCATGAACACACTCTTTTTTGTGGAATTCGGACATTGGCACTAGCATTTTTTAAAGCATCTTGATCAAATCGAATTGTCAATTTGGCGATCAACGACATTTGCCTCTCTCACCCTTATGAAATTCTTTAAAAGTTGTAAAAAAAAGGATTAATATCATGAAAAACTCCAAACTAGTATATCTGTGACAAATTTATCTCAAACTAATTTTTTGACCACAAAAAACTTCAAACTTATACACATGCGATAAATTTATCATAAAATAATTTTTTTATCAACAAAAACCCTAAATCGGTACAATTATGACAAATTTACTTTCTGTTAAATTGAATTAATACCATGAAAAATCACAAATTGGTATACCTGTAACAAACGGAAGGTAAAACCTCAAACTGGTACACTTATCAACTGCCACGTGTCATTAAATTCAGAAAGTTGATCGTAAAATTTAACTGAAATTAATAGAGAATAAAATTATCACAAACGATGTTAATTTGAAATTTTTCGTCATATTAACTCGTTACAAAAAAAGGAATTATAAGTTTTTATTACTAATTACAAGTAATTAAAAGTTTGGCTGTTGATACTGTGTCTTGGGGTAGGGGAGATCGCGGTAGTGGGCGAGAGAGGAGATTGAGAATCTTTTTCGGGGGCAGTAATTAGTAACGCAACAACGTCGTTCCATGGCGCACCCACGTGAACGCTTCCCTCCCTCGGGTCCCCACACCAGATCCTCCGTATCCAGCCGCGGGTCCCACGCTCCCCCGGAGGACGACGGTGGGCCCCTCCCCCACCACACCACACGTGTCTCCTCATCCCTGGCACGTGAAGCCCACGTGTCCATCCGCTAACCTTCCTCCTCGGTCCTCCCTATAAATTCAGGTTCCCCTGTATCTGATATCCTCGACAAGAACAACAACTAGAGCGAGAGACAAAGACTCTCTCTCTCTCTCTGTAATATTCGATCTTCTCCTTTTCTTGGTATCTGATTGTCGAAGGAGAAGCAAGTGCAGCGGCAAGCGAGAGAGTTTCCCTTGCTGGGTATAGAGAGAATCGGTGCATGTTGCATAGCAGATCTCTTGAAAACAGCTAGGCTTACGTTTCCAAACTCTAATCCTTTCAAAAACCTTTCGTGATTTCGGGTGATATCCTAGTCCAGCTTTTGCTTGGAGGGAAATCCCGGAAAAAAATGGCGCCCAGGTTCCTTTTGGCCTTGGCGATATGCAAGCTGATCGTCACTGTTGGATTGAACGTCGAGCCGGCGGAGCTCCTCCAGCTCGGCGTCGGCGGGGGGCTGCTCAGCATGGACCGGCCCGACGTGGAGTCCGCCTCCCTCGACTTCGGCATGATGAGCCGGGTCGAGCCGCTGGCGGTGTACCACCCGAGCTCCGCGGACGACGTGGCCCAGCTCGTCAGGGCTGCGTACTGCTCGGGGCGCGGGTTCGCCGTCTCGGCGAGGGGCCACGGGCACTCGATCAACGGGCAGGCCCAGGCCGCCGGGGGCGTGGTCATAAAGATGAGCAGCGCGGGGCCGGCGGCGGCCGAGGGCTGGCCCGCCCCGCGCGTGGCGGCGGAGGAGAGGTACGTGGACGTGTGGGGCGGGGAGCTGTGGATAGATGTGCTGAGGAGCACGTTGGAGCGTGGGCTGGCGCCGAAGTCGTGGACCGACTACTTATATCTGTCCGTGGGTGGGACGCTGTCCAACGGTGGAATTAGCGGGCAAGCCTTCAATCACGGACCTCAGATCAGCAATGTGTATGAGCTCGACGTCGTCACAGGTATCATCGCCTTCTCTTCTGCATGGCCTTTTCTTGCCGCCCCTCTGTTTGTTTCGGTGCCCTCTCATTTTCTTGTGTCCCTTTCTCTTTGTTCTATCTCTAGGGCTTGAGCTTCGCTCCCATCGTATGCGAAGCGAAATTACTTTCAATTATTAACATCGTAATATAAATTCTTTCTTTAAACAATTCATGGGGTTCTTTCCTAGGAAGCCTTTTAGGGTTTAGCCTATAGGCCTCCATGTTCTCGGGTCCTCGAGATGATTGGAGGGATCTGCTCACATGGCGGATTTAAAAATCATCGAGCAAAAGTGAATTCTCAATTATGTGGGGATTACTTTTGTTGGGATTCGTCGTGGGAGGAGATATTACGAAGAATTTTCGTAACATGGGTCGACGTAACATGCTTTCATTAGTTTAGTCGTCGTTGGATGTGCTATGTGACAAAAGATGTGCTTTTCCTTGGGTGACAATCTTCTCTAGGGCATAATTCCACATGGGTTTAGCCAGTCATGGGGGAATACTTTGAACAGTGATTTTGCATTTGCTTTTGTTGTCGCCAACAACATTATCATGTTCCAAATTCCATCACGGGCAATGCTTTCTTATCTGATGTGGGAGATTTTTTGCTGGTGTCGCCAAATTTCTCAGGCAAAGGTGATATCGTGACCTGCTCGGAGGAAAAGAACTCGCAACTGTTCCATGCTGTTCTCGGCGGGCTTGGCCAGTTCGGGATCATCACGAGGGCCAGAATCGCTCTTGAGCCAGCTCCTCAAAGGGTATCTGTCATTTGTTTCTGTGTAGACAAAGTGCACTTGCTTAGACTAATAAAATCGTTTTTTGGCCCCCCAAAAAAAAGCTAGGAAATCATTATATATTATGCGTGGAACTTTTATCGAATTCTAAGAAAGAGTTAGTTGGCTATTACTTAACAAGGATAATACTATATAGCTTATTGATACTGGTTTTCACAATCGACTTATCAAGTGATCAGACAAATTTCCATTGAACGTTGAACATGAGCCGCTTATTTAATTAGTTAATCTTGTCGATATAATTGTTATTAAATGTAAAGTATATTCCATGATCCTGATAATATTACTCTACTAAAAAATAACGACGCTTCCCAATGTGTGTGTTTATATATATATATATATAAACACACACATTGTATATGTATATACATTGGTGGAAAGAGATTTCCTTTGGATTATGCGGTGGGGCAGATGTTGGGGCAAATTTTCCTAGTACTTGGGTTAATGACAAAACGCGAAAAAAGCGACATGAGTTAGGCAACAAAGGTGGGGTTGGGTCCATACGAACTTTCGGAAGCCATTCAAATGGCTGTGCTGAAGCTGGCAATGCTAGCGACGTGTCGTTTTGCCTTCTTATCTCTCCTCTTTCTTGGGAAAATATTTGTCCAGGCTTAATCTTACAAGCTCTCAATCACTCACCATCTTGTAAATCACGTAAGATCTTGATTGACAAACGGGAAATCCCAAGATAAAAGAAAAATACTAAAAACTCCATCGCATCATGTTCGACTTAATCTATAACGACAGCAGCAAAATGAATCTAGAGAATAATACTCTCAGTGTTTTGAGAGAGACGTTTCATACTTATTCGATAAATTATCTCTCATGTATGTGCAGGTGAGGTGGATTCGTGTACTGTACTCGAATTTTTCGTCCTTTACCAGGGACCAAGAATATCTCACATCACTGCATGGAGAGCCAGCTAGCAAGAAATTCGACTATGTGGAGGGCTTTGTCATTGTGGATGAAGGCCTCATCAACAATTGGAGGTCTTCTTTCTTCTCCCCTCGCAATCCCGTCAAGATCTCCTCCCTTGGCACCGATGGAAGCGTTTTGTACTGCTTGGAAGTCACCAAGAACTACGACGAATCAAATGCCGACACGGTGGATCAGGTATGTAATGGCTTATGAGCGTGACGTTCTTTAATTCTTTCAACATCAAGTTTCAATTATGATGCATCCAATGGTTTCACTGACTATAAATGCATGCATGATGCAATGGGTTGATGCCTAGTAAGTGGTAGGCAATAATAGGAACTCTTATAACAAGCTCTAACACACGTCAGATTCTTATCCTATGTATAGTTCAATGAAAAACCCATTTGCTATATTTCTTGAAGAATCTAAGGAACTTCAATTATTCATCAACAAATCTTGGTAGAGGCCTCAGCATGCACGAGTGTGAATAATATAAGATTAGGGTGACTTGTTCTTGCACGATTCAGGAATCGCGCCGCTTGGATAAACGATTCCATTTAGGCGGCTATTAGGCGTTGCCCTGGCATGACAACTTTGCAAACTTGGGTTTGGAAACTAGGAATATGTCATCATATAAAAAGGAATAATTTTGATGCCTAACGACCGACGGACCACCTTCATATATTATTTTAGGCAATAGAAAGGCGCAATTTTAGGAAGAAAACTGCACGTAAAGAGTCCACGTCACGTACAGACCAAAACCCTTTTTCCCACTTATTGTTGTCGGGAAGGGAAAGGAAGATTGGAAAAGGTTGAAAACCTGTGTGCTTTATAGCAAGATGGCGGTGCATCGTCTCGTGTTCATTCCTTATCGACTGCATATCGAGTCTTAGGTCATGTCATGAACTAATAAGTTCGATGGGTTGTCCGTTAATTGACCCTTTATTCTATCGCTGTCTTTGTTGTGTTGGATGACAACATCATTAGAGCTACCCTTTATGTCGTGACAAAGTGTCCATTCATTGTTATTTGATTTAAAAAATCAAGAACCCACCGCCGGCTTTGCTGGACTACGCGACCTGAACCCTAGTTAAAAATTACTCTGGGAGCTGTTGAAAGTGGAAACTGTTGCTTCCTCGAAGTGACTTCCACAGTCAGACCCCAGTCGGCAATTTTCATGAATTCTTTAGTTTCACAATTACCCCATTAATTATTTTAGTGTAGCCTTTCCTTTTCTACCAATCTTAGCTTATAATCTTCCCTTGTAATGTTGTTGTCCTTCTCTCACTTGGCCCACTAATCAAGAACGGATGATTGTGATTCCTCTCGAGTTGATTCGATCTCAATCCGCAATCCGCATTAGTTCCTATAAAAGTAGAACCAAACAGGCACAAGAAAACATGCAAGATCTTGTGTGATCTACCATCTCAGGCCTGATTCCAAGATTTGAACACAACCTTTCTATTATTTTACTTGTGAATGTAACACAACCTTTCTATACAAGCCGTCCATAGCCACTCCTAAATATTCCTCCCTAACATTTGTAAATATTATTCAAAAAAGAAAAAGTTGGGTCGGAATAAGAACTTCACTCTGACAAGAAAGCAACAGTCTGGTAGCAGCCTTTCCTCCCTTTGATCGTACTTTGATCATTCTTTAATCATTCACTTGTAATAACGACGTCTAGATTATAATTTAATCAGAGAAGTGTTCTCGTGGTTCGCAGGAAGTGGAAGATCTGTTGAAAGATCTCGACTTTATACAAACATCGGTGTTCACCACCGATATACCCTACGTGGATTTCCTGGACCGGGTCCACAAGGCCGAGTCGAAGCTCCGGTCCAAGAACCTGTGGGACGTTCCTCACCCGTGGCTCAACCTATTCGTCCCCAGATCGAGGATTGCCGACTTCGATCGAGGCGTGTTCAAGGGCATCTTGGGGAACAAGACGAGCGGGCCCATCCTCATCTACCCCATGAATAAGAACAAGTAAGTTGTCTTAGGCTGCAAACGAAACATCATTAAATGCCCATCTTGTCTTGTCCTGGTATGGCTATTTGCATGCATGCAACATGCAAGATTCTTATTTTATGCTGCCTTACGACATTATCCGCCCCAAGCATGTGTTTTTAATGCTTGTGGTCACACCTTAGTGTCTATTCAATTGGTAGGTTCTGTTCATGGATGCAATAATACTATATGTTGTCTCTTAAACTAAGGATATGGTCCTAAAAATTTTGATGCAGCTATTAAATTTCATACGTATGAGTACCCTTAACAGTTGTGTGGTTGATCTTTACCAAAAAAAAAAAAAAACAGTTGTGTGGTTGAAAAATAATGTTAGATATACTATGGCTGAAAAATTGATACACTAATTATGCAATGGACACTTATTAAATGTTAAACACGGCTCGCTTTATTTTATAGATTGTTTGCAGCAATCGATTTATCTATTTCGTAAATCGCTCTTACCGCGTCTAGTGGATTCGTACCCACGTAAATTGATGACCCTTTACTCGGCGAGCTTCTTGGGTTTGAGTTCAGAAATCCAAATTTCCTTCCATGTTTCCTAGGATAAATTAGAGCTAATCAAGAGCCGACTAAGATCTTCATTTGATCTTTTGCTTCTTGACAAGTTTTACTATGGAAAACCCTTTTAAGTCATGCCATGACAGACTCTTCTTTTCACCCCAAATGAAGATGAAACTTCAAGTGGGGTCAATGATATCACGATCCAAGAGCCAGTTTTGTGTCGATCCAGCCAGAAGTTAAATCACCAAGAAAGACAAGAGATCAGACGGTACTGGTGGGGTGGGGAGGGGAGGGGGAGATTCCTGTGTCAGGAGATCTTCTGTCAGGGACCCGCCTCGACGGGGATGGGCACATTGGTAAAATCCCGTGTCGTCTTCTTCCCCGGTGCACATCACCATTGACGACCCCCCGATCACCATGCATTGGACCCCCCCTCGATTCCATCACAACCATCAAATCTCACCTACCGTCGCCATTTCTTATGACCATCTACCTAAATAGTACTTTCGAATCGCATAGCTTATTACGAGCTGCTGCTATGATTCGAGTAACGTAATATTCACGGTAGCATTTTGGTAATGAACGAGGTATATGATACGAGGGAGAAACATCAAGAGTTCTCGAGTATTATGTTTGGCAGCTAATAATCTTCGCTGATGTGCAGGTGGGACCAGAGGAGCTCCGCGGTGACGCCGGACGAGGACGTGTTCTACCTAGTGGCCTTGCTCCGGTCGGCGACCGTCAGCGGCGGCGGCGGCGGCGGCGGCGACGCGAGCCGGAGGCTGGAGCACCTGGTCGACCAGAACCGCCGGATCCTGAAGTTCTGCCGCGACGAGGCGATCGATGTGAAGCAGTACCTGCCCCACCACGCCACGCGTGAGGAGTGGGCGGACCACTTCGGGGACGAGAGGTGGGCCCGGTTCCACCGGAACAAGATGGAGTTCGACCCGAAGCGGATCCTGTCCACGGGTCAACGCATCTTCAAGCCCGACTTCGGTTCTTATCCGAACACGGCCTTGTCGTTGTGATTTTTGGCTTACTACTCCCGCTGCTGCACATAGGGTGTACGTGTATTGAATTTAGGGAAGATTCCTGTACAAATTAGGTAATATTTTTATTCCCTTCAATTATTAACCTTTTTTTAATGTTCGTCTCTTCAATTATTATATCTTGATGATGATTAGAGAGAAGGAGAAGGCGTATGACCTAAGGTTATATCGTAATTAATGTGTTCGACGTGATATTACCAGAAAGAAAATAGAGAATGCATATTCGTGATTCTATTCTCATGGTGCACGACCGTTCCAAATTAGTTGCTGGATTATTTATTCGGGTGTTCCGAATTTCATGCGAACTCACTAAAAATTATCTCTGAACATGGGAAAAGTTTACCAAATGCCGCCGTTTCACAAGTTAACTGAGTTATCGTTTTTCACCATGACACCATATCGGTTTTATTGTACCTTCCATCGCAACTTCATTAACGAGAAAGATCTTCAATTTGGACATAAGTCAAATGGTATCAACAAAATTTCACGTATGTCTCCATGCTATTAATAGGAACATAATTAAAAGTATTATAAAAGTTGTTATCACATTATTATTAATTGGACCTATCAAAATGGGTCATAAATTTCATTTCTCAACCCAAATTGATGGGCTAGGTTGTTATATAAGTTAATTATATTCAATAAATAGATAATAAATTGGTTCATAATGGTAACGCTTAAAATAATATGAGTGCTAAATTAATTCACAACTTATTTCGGTCCAATTCACCTCTATGACTCTCTTTTCACTCTCTCTCGCCCTCATTCGATTTTGCGCTCGTTTACTTCATGCTCTCACCCGAGTTTTCCTAAATTGGGTTAAATGTATTTTAGTATATGGGTCGGATCGGGTTTGGATCACGAAATTTGTATTGCATGAAAGTGGGTCAATTTAGGTCAGACTATTTTTAACCCGACCAACCCGTTTGACAAGTTTACTATTAATCACCGCCCAAAATGATCAGTGCAACAAGTGTTCGCAATGATCATGCAATGCTTAAATACATTTTCTTTGAAACATGATAAATCGATTTCTAGACAAATTTATGAGCTCGTACTAAGATTTAATCATTACCACACTAGTCATTAGCCATTAAGTACTAAATAGATCTCGACCTAACGTAGAATCTTAGAGTTTGACGTACCAAATGAGACCTGAGCTTGGGTGGAATTGAGCCGGATTGAGAGCCTCAAAACTTAACTTGCCAAGACATACAGATCACTCAGCCTTGTTTTCCTCCGCTATAGTTATATAGGTGAAGCCAAAAAGTTTTGGGCGTTTGAAGGAGTAGAACTTTATTTGCTTTGCTTCTAGTGGAGAATTGAGGGGTCAAGCGAGCTAAAGGGTGAACATGGAATAGTAACACAGAGGGAGAAGCGGGAAGTTGAGGCTTTGATCCATACGATTGTAGAGAAGTATGAAATGGTGGATGCTTTGGTTGTGTTAGAATGAATGAAACCAAAAGATGAAGAGACGAGAGGGAGGGGTGTCACTTTCAACCTAATAAAATGTTCAAGTTATTTGCAAGGATAGCAAAGGCAAATAAACAAGTGGTGAGGTAGCTCTAACATAGGTCAAAATGGGGAAGAGATTATCACTATCATATGAAATTCAAGTTAGCAACATATTCAAGTTATCCGTAGGGATCCCCTGACATAGGTTCCAATGTGAAACAAACACGGGTGCTAACACTCAAATGGTAATAAATATGAACTTTAGTTATCTGTATCATATGAAATTCAAGTTAATAACATATTCAAGTTAGCGATTTCCGGCGGCAATTGATCGGAAAGATTACACTAAAGTTTCCCACAAAGGTTTATAACTCCATTGACAAAATTGAAAAGTTTTTGTACAATAAATTTAGCTTATGATTAGGTAATTAATTATCCCATAAATAAAGTCAGGGTCTTAGATGAAATGAATATCTATTATACATAGTTAAAGCCGTAGTTGAGAGAATGTTCACTTTCTGTATTTGCCAAGTGACACTTCTCTTTAACTATGTGCTTGCCATGTGCCACCTGGCATTGTTTTGCCATGTGGCCAATAACCTTACCAGATATGATATGTCATCTTGCACTTTTATATATTATTTTCAAATAATAGTAGATAAAGTCAAGGTTCAAACATCTTCAATGCTAGAAAACGAAAATCACATACATATCAAAACCTTCATAAAAAGATTATATAGTTAAACTTAGCCAAAATAATTGAATTTAACTAAGAATATAATAAAGCTGTACGTTTTTTTAATCATATATCAAGCTTTACTTTTTTGTGTTATAATACCTAGTATTGCTGAGCACCCATTTCTCACATTAAGTTTCACTTAATATTCACTAAATTTAAACCTTGCACATTCTTGTTCATTTGAAACATGCATGTTTAAATTTCATGTACTTTTATTTCTTTGTTTTAAAACGCAATTATCTTAAATGAAAATATTGTTTGAAGCAAATTTGTCCGCAAAAATGAAGATGGAGATATGCTATTCCCAAAAACCACTTAATTTCAAATTGAGATATTTTCAAAAAAAAGTACATCATATGAGTGATAAAGTTCATGAGTTTTTTAGTTTATTAGGTTATTATTCGATAATTAGTTGATTACAAAAATGAAATTAACATTTATCCAAGTCAAATTTGAAATAGATTTGATATTCTATATTCAAATTTTAAGAATGGAGAATCTTGGGAAAATTTGTCTAAAAAGTCTTAAACCTATTGCACTTTAGCCAATTCAATCCTTAATCTTTTAATTTTGTGTATTGAGTTCGAAACATTTTCACATTTTGCCAATTGAGTCCATCCGACCAATTTTGACTCGAAATCGCTGACGTGGCAGTCCAATCAGCGTTGGCCATCCTATATGGCACGACCAGTGTAGAATGGGCGGTGCAGATGTGGACAAAATTTAATAATTTTTTCTAATTTTTAATTGATTTTTTTATTTTCCTTTTTCTTTTCTTTCTTTTCTTTTTGGTTCAAAGGGCCAGTAGGCCGAAAACCCCCTCTAGCCCCAAGGCAAGGGCCACAAAACCCTTCTCGAATCCAGCCAGGGCTCATGAGTCCTCGCTGTGGCCAGTGAGGGCATTGGGGCCCTCGCCTGCCCGCGATGTGGTCGATGACGGCCGTAACCCTTGCCCCGGGCCGACGAGGGCTTCTTGGCCCTTGCCTAGGGGTCGGCGGAGGTTGCCGATCCTCAGCCAGTAGCTGGCGACCCCGCTGGCCCTTTGAACCAAGGTCGCCGGCCCTTTGAACCAAAAGCGAAAAAGAAAAAAGAAAAAAGAAAAAAAGAAAAAAGAAAAGGAAAAAAATTCGAAAATAAAATAATAAATTATTAAAATTCATCCTCGTCAGCGATGGCCATGTCACGTATGGTCGGCGTCCAAGTTAACGATTTCTGGCAAAAATTAATCCGATGGACTCAATTGGCAAAATATGAAAATGTTGAGGACTCAATTGGCAAAACTAAAAGATTTAGGATTGAATTGACAAAAGTGCAATAGGTTTATAATTTTTGTTCGCCTAATTTCAATAAAAGGCACAAACTTTACCTCGAGTGACAATTCTGACCTCAACTTTTTTTGTCTCATAAAAAATCATGAACTTTTAATTGAATCCCAAATTTGACCCCGTTGACTTGGAATCATTAATTGTCCAACATGACTATTCCGCATCATCAATAAATCCATGTCGCTTGCTAGTTACTATTCATCATTTTTTTTTCTTGAGCCATAGCTTGAAGAAATGTGAATTTGTTCATGGTCTCCTTCACTTTACCGGCAAGTAAAAAAGATATCCATATTGGATCTCTTCGGCTGGCTTCCACCATTTTATCATAATATGAAGTTGTGGACCACCAGCCATTGAGAGACGCCATGGATGAGATTCGCCAAGCTCACGACTAGAACCTTTTTTTTTTAAACAAGCCAAAGCCTTCCACTGAAACTTCGAAATCTACGTCGAATGGATATTAATCAATTGATATATCAAGCTTTAGTGATGGACATTAATAAATTGATTTTGTTGGGAAGTATAGTGAATGAGATTCTAAAGTTTTGCCTTGCCAAAGTGCTTGTAACAATTTACTAGATCTCAAGCTTTGGTTAACTAGGGTCAGATTTGAGACTCGAGTAAAAGCTAGTGATTTTTATTGAAACAAAAAAAGTTAGGGTCAGAATAGTTACTTAAGATAAAGTTGATGTTTTTTTTTTTGGAATTAGCTCCTTTTTGGACAATTTTTTTGAAAATCTGGAATTAGCCAATCAAGTTCAAGAACGAGAATCAAAGGCTTCTCTCCTCCTTTTTATAAGTTGGAATTTGCGCCATGTATTTTGACACCTGGACAAATGGAGATATGGATTCGCTTTCTCTCAGAGAAAACTTTGCAGGATTCAGGTAATTAAAACCCAACAGTCTTTAATCTTCAGGTCCAATTTGTAAAGAGGATGTGAAATTGTGATGTTCGATTTTAGATTTAGTCATCAAGGTCCTTGATCATATTCAAGAGAATTATTAGGATTTGATATCGTAATTAGAGATTGCACTATTTTTATTGAAACTAATATAATTTGATTTTTCCAACCTATCAATAACTTTATTTGTGTACAAACACATGTAAAGATATGTCCAAATAGCACATGCCATTTCATTGTCACGTCATCCACACTTAACGAATAAATTTTAATTAATTAAGTTTTCGTTTATCAACTTTGATTTTAAGTTTGAAATAGTTAGACAAAAGTTTCTTGAAACACATTTAATAAAAATATGTTAGTTTGCTAAAAAGAACTCATGATAGTAAAATTATTGATTTTGTTTAGAAATTGTAGTTTTTATTATCTTGTATCCAGATTTGCTTCATTAAAATCTATAAAATTTTGTGGAATCAGTGTGATTTTTTTTTTCTGTATTGTACATGGTATATTACAAACTAATACACTTAATTAAATTGAAGTATGACCACAAAAAAATAAAATAAAAAATCAACCAATGGTATGATTCAATAAATTATTATTTTGCAATTATTCTCTGTCGGGTGAGATTATATAAAACAATAACAAGTTTAGTCCTAGCAAAAGTTTATTTTGTGGTGTAGCACTGGTAACGTACTAGTTTCGTATGACCCTGGGCATCATCTAGCTAGGGTTGCACCATCACTAGCCAGATCCGCCCCGAGTTTCATGACCCCACACTAGATACGGCCCTAGCACGGATTTTTGTGACTC